CATGATTGTATTTAAAGTTATCAAGTCATTCTGATATTAATGGCCTGCCAATCCTGTGCTCCTGATGAGGTCGTGGCCTCTTGAGATAAGTCTGCATTAACCCTTGGTGTTATCTCAAGGCTTGGAGAGGCAAAGTGGGACCATGAGAGTGGGAGCTCAGGCTGCTGTGGGACATGCCAGACTGCCAGCAGCCTCCCCAGCACAGAAATGGAATTTAATCTAGTTTCTTTCATAGAATCACAGAATCCCAGACTGGTTTGGGTTGGAAAGGACCTTAAAGCTCATCCAGTCCCACCCCCTGCGTGGACAGGGACATCTCCCACCAGCCCAGGCTGCTCCAAGCCCCATCCAACCTGCCCTTCAACACTGCCAGGGATGGGGCAGCCACAGCTTCCCTGGGCAACCTGGGCCAGGCTCTCACCACCCTCACAGCACAGAATTTCCTCCTCATGTCTCACCTCAATCTCCCTCTTCCAGTTTTAATCCATCCCCCTCATCCCATCCCTCCCTGCCCTTGTAAAAAGTCCTTCTCCATCTTTCTTGGAGCCCCTTCAGGTACTGGAAATCTTAATTTCTTTGATTAACACATGAAACCCAACATGGAGCTGCCTCCAGCCCTGGAGCTGTTCCCCAGCCTCATCCCTAGCACCCGGGTCTCCTGTCCTACACTTGCAGCTCCAGTAGTGCCAGGTGAGGCCTCAGATGGGTCCTTATTGCAGGAGCATCACTTGAGCAGGGTGGTGGGTGATCCCACGGAGCTGGTGGCTCTGGAGAAGCCTGTGACAGAACAAGAAGGTGACCCCTGGCTGGACCACTTGCAGCATCCCAGATGGCAGAGGGGTTGTGGCACAGCAGGACCCAGATGCCCCATCCCTGGCAGTGCTGAAGGGCAGGTTGGATGGGGCTTGGAGCAACCTGGGCTGGTGGGAGGTGTCTCTGCCCATGCAGGGAGATGGATCTAGATGATCTTGAAGGCCCCTTCCAACCCCAACCATTTAATTATTCTAGATGGGTGTCTAGAGGCTGCCCAGCTGCTCAGGAGCAGCCCCAGTTCCAGGGCAGTCTCCAGCCAACGTTGGTGTGTCCTGTGCAGGTGCTGCCCCCTCCTCTCCCCACTGCACAGGGGCTGCTGGGGCTGCCAGACCTTGGCTGTGACAGTTGGGAGATGCCACCACCTGCCTTTTCTCACTCACCCCCAGCACCTCAGGGTTGTCCCATCACCAGCCACATCCCAACATTTCTGTGGTTTGGCTCCACCTCCCTCTCCCCAGCCCAGCTGAGACCTGACACACCCCCCCCAAACTGGATCTAATGCCACCCCAGTATCTCCTGGAACAGCCCTGCTGCTTCCACCAAGCACTGGATGCTCCCAGCAGGACTGACCCCACCTGGACACTTGTCCCAGCTCATTATGGAACCTCCCATCAGCTGCTGGGAGGCTTTTACCACCTCCCCTCCTTGGTGCAAACACACCAAACCCCCCCAAATCTGGGGCAAACCCCCCCTTTTTAAATTCATCTCCCCTTACAAATACTTCCCTCATATCATTTGACCCATGGGAGTTTGTTTTGCTCAAACACTAAATCCTGCTTGGTTTTTAGTGACCAGCTGAAAGGTGTGTTCCCTGCCCCTCCATTTCCCCATCACCTCTGTGTCATCCCCATGTTCTCCTGCTCCTTTCTCCAAAAGCAGCACCCCCAAAAAATGGGGTGATAGTGAGGAACAAAGTCCCTAGAGATCTCCCTCTGGAAAAACTGCATTTCAGACAAG